TCAACCTTACTGGCGACGTGTGCCATGCCGATCTGCGATCACGTAACTTCAGCTGAGCCCACACGCACGTGTGTATGAATCGAAGTTGATCGCACAAGGTCGCGTGTGCGCGTGTGTGTTGCACGATACCCGCGCGTTCGCGTCTGTTAAGTCCCGAGCCCACGTGTCCACGATCTAGTTCTGACCCGTATTGATCGTTGAGTGATCGCTGTGATGTGCACACACATGTGGGTGTTTGTGTGTGTGCGCTCCAAACGGTTTTTGCTTCACCAATAGCCATCGTCCAAATGTCCCATATTCAGCCACGTGGAAGGTGAGCCGCAAGTGCGTGTGCGTGTGATCATGCAGGGCGCAAGCGAGGCTGTATGTGCTGCTAGTGCGCGTGCGGCCTCGCTGGCGTCCACCATGAACACCAGTACACCATATCGGTCGTGACGGATTTTGTGCTGTTTCTCGCATCTCACGTCCTTACCTTTGTCTGCTATGCAGACTTGCTGAAAGTGTATCACCCATGAGGACATCAGTAGGTGCAAATCACTCATTGAACTCTACACGCCAGACAGCGCAGCTTATGCACATGGTCCCTAAAGGTTTCAGTTGTGGTCCAAACCGCCGAATCAAAAGAATGAGTCTAAAGCTAAACACTACCAGTTCATTGTCTTGCGGTCGGCAGTCCTGGGACACTTTCGATTTGGTGTATTTTGGGTCTTCTTTGTAGAGTGAAAAAGCTATCTTGGATCCCTTGAACCATTTCTCACACGAACTGTTGGTTGCTAATGTGGGTTACTAGGTGGCACAAACACTAACTGTTCCCCTAGTTTAATTTGAGTGATCTTATCTGTAAGATATCCGGAAACTAAATATTCCTGACTAAACATTCATTTCGATTTGCAACTGTATTGGGAAGCGCGCTTTTTTCACAGGCTACTAACATAACCTACAAAGGAATTGAAAAAGCTCATGAACTATCCCTCGGAAGTGTACTGTACAATAAGGTTTGAGCGGATACCTCATGGCATCTATACTCACAACTCAGCAGTGGACTAACAAGAAATTGAGCTTAAGATCCTAGTTTGGTGGTTTCTGTTAGGCAGCTCATGACGACGAAAAAAGGTTGCTCAGTTGCTGACAACTGAAGATCGCAGGGAATGACCACAGATGGACCGTTAGAGCTTGAGGGTTGAAGCAGGTTTCTGCGGCAAGAGGTAACCATACCCAGTAGCCTAATTGGGATGGCCTCTAAGGAGACAAATTGAAACAAGCAATGAAAGGGTCTCGAAAGATGGGCCGAATATTTTAACGGACAGCTCAGCTGATATCCTGTGGCAGTTCATAGTACCAGCTCATTGGGAAGGATGGGACGGAAGAAGACAACGCAACTTCCCCTTCCCAAGGTGTCAAAATGGTCTTTCTGAGAGCATAGTCAGCAGCACCCTGCGAATAAGGTAGTTCTGTTCTGTAGTTAGTTTGAGGGGAGTTCTACGGGTAACCATCATCCATACCCTCATCATCGTCGTCTCGATTGTCGAAAGAATAGCGCCGGCACTGAACGCCGATGTTTCTCAGCTGTACACACATGATAAATGTGGTGGTAAAACGGAGTGAAAGTGGTGGCCTATTATAAACATTCCGAGGCACCTGCCATGAATGTGTTCATCCATATAATCGGCATGGAAAAGGCCATTGACATTAACTAGGGGCCATGTTTTGCACCGTCTTTAGTCAGGCCCAGAGAGCCCCACAACTTGAAAGACATCTCACTGACATTGCCCAAAATTCCTCCAATCCATATCTGTACCCTTCGATCAGTACTGAAACGTTGCGATCGTCTCTCGTCTTCTTCCGTAACCTAAAAATCGCGTTTGAATCCTTGGATTGTCGGGTACTATGGCAGTGCTTGTTGATGGAAGGTTTTCCATACAAATCCATCTCACGCTAACCCCTGTGGATGAATTGGTTTAGTAAACGCTCACCTGAGTTCGCTGCATCCATCAGTGTCAAACTAGGTCATCCCCATCTCCCTTTTTCGAATTCCTTTATCGAAATGTTGTCGGAATAGTTCTGATCTACTGCAACACCTGTGGGCTATAGCTGCTATCAGTGTACGCCCAAAGACCTTGAATACACTGATCACATACTGGGGTCGGATCACACATCAATCGGAACAATTTAGAGTAATTTACCTGCATGATTGAATATACGCTTCCCACATGCATACCCGAACTTTGTGCCTGCAGATGAGCCAGTCAGCGTGTCAGCTAGCGTCCGCCATTCCTGACTGCTTTGTTAAGGATACAGTCTCCTGTCGAATAACTTGTCTCCTGCCAGCTAGCAAAATTTCAGGCGTTATCTGTCAACGGCGGAGTTCACAACAATGCAACGTTTCCATTACTCCTACTTGATTTAGAAGCCTTGCCACTGCTAGCGCAAGACGTTAAGAATCGTTCAATGCGTGATCGCTAATGTTTCTGATCAGCACTTTCTAGTTACTTTCAGTGGACGAGCTGGTGACAATTAGTTGGCCAGCTGCATTGGTCACCTGCTCTGTGTGCCAGTGAGGTGGTCGACTTCTCCTATCAGAGTGGAAATATTCCACAGAAGGTTACGCCGTGGCGTAGCAGATGAGTTTGAAAACCCTTAACCAGTAGACAACTGCATCAGTGGCTGTCGCCCGCTCGAGTGAAAAGCTCGAGATAGAACAAATCAATGGTTAACGGCACTGATAGACGTGGCTCAATCACCCAACCAAAGATATCCATGTGTCCAAGATACTACCCTCAGCGCATAGCCACTCCTTCCTAATCCCCACACTCATGACAAAGTTCCTCGCAACATCATTGTCATCACTATCCGATTGGCAATCCTGGTATGCGTGCATTCGTCCTCAGTGCGTAGCACTACCCACGTGTCTGATACTCGATGGATGAAACTGTACGTTAGAACAAAATTCCGGTCTGCACACCGTTAAACCTGACTGTTTCATAAGCGTTCTGCTTTCATTCTACAACCCTTGTCGTTTTTGGTTCGAACACAGGGAAATTCAGCCGATAGCATTTTGAAGCCGTTTTTTGCGTTGCCTGTGTGACTAGTTGTATAGTTTTCCGCCTCGGGATATATGTTGATTTATTCTATCCATCGACAGTAGTACTCACTGGCTGTGTATTTAACAGTTCGTGACACTCGGAAGCTTGAGTGAAAGACCGATAGGGCCTCAACTCTTTTAACCACCAACCTAACGGAATATATATTGGTCCTCCTGTTTTAATATCGTTTTTCTCGCTTTTAAACCCCACTGTAAAGGACATGGCTGCTTGCGTAGGAGTGAACTCCTAAGATAGGCCGACCTCTGCCTTTGAGCTGTGTAGGCCATTTGCTCAGAAGCGTGGTCACTTTGCCCTTAGCCAGTGACACTATTCAATCGAAACAGTTCAAAAGCGGTTCTTCTGAAAGAGGCGCATCAACTTTATCTGAAGAAATTTAGTGATGCAATTTCGACATCTGTTCACGACTTCGAGTAGTTAGCCACCCACTTTGACACTTACCATTCTCTGCCTAGTTTTCACCAAACTGTGTCTACGTTGCGAATTATGGGCAGAGTAACCTAAGTAAACGCGTCAGTCTTTTTTCAGTCTATTCGCTGATGTTAATTCAAATTGTTCCCATCACGCTGCTAAGCATCACTCTGCTGATAGTCCCATAAGGTCAGTCGATCACTGTGTGTGCAGTGAAAGAATAAATTAATACACGAGTTTGGTAAGTTTTATTTAAGGGCTCGTACTCGCCGAAGGTGTGTAATGTCTCGAAGATTTTCACCTTTTGGCGCTTGCACAATAAATAAGTATTTAATAAAGTACTACACCATAACATCAGTCCAAGCTTGTCTGTTGGCGTGTGTCCAACCATTGTCGACGAACGGTCATTTCCCGCCAAATTGGACTTCGAATAAAAACATCTCGAAAACTATCGCACGAATCCACAGGAACTTTCACGATTTTCCTCTTCGGTTTGCATACATTTACGCTTTGTTCTCCAGTGGCCTTCGTTTGCAAACAGCACAACAACTGTTGCAAACTTTGGTCACAGTTTTCATTGTTTGTCACTTAGCGCATGAATGTGCCCAATGGCTTCGAACTCTACTCGCAGAGCTTCCTTGACCACCTTACCTAGGTGGCCTATACCGATGAGACTTTCACTTTCTTAGGTTCTGATGCTCCAAACCCAACGGCCTGACAACACACCGTTGCATGGAAGTGCTCATAGGACTTCGAAGCAAAACATCGATCAGTAAAGGAACATCGTCCTATGTATTGTTTGGTTGAGTCATTCCAGTTTAAATGATTAGTTGTACCGTAGATCCACATTCAACATGATTACTGGAGTGCATCCTATCATCGAGATGGCGACGGAACCATAGACTAACTGATGTATCATGAAGATACTAGAATGATAGCCCGTGTTAGACCCGTGGGACCAGGAGGATGTTTCAGATGGCCAGCTGATGAATATGGTTTTTAAAGTAAAACATCTTCGATACGGTCTAATCTCATCTATCCTGTGAGGCACATCTTCCATTCTCTTCCACTGCATGTTAGCGGCTTCCATCAGATTTCGAGGAATACACATTTATCTACATACAAGGCAATTTACTTTCTGTCATGCATCACAGCTTCCCTTTGTGTATCCCATGTAAGACAAGACAGGCTGTCGTATAGGAAATGGAAACCTAAATATAAATGAGGAAACATCCAAAGGAATTTTTATTAATTATAAAGTCAAAACAGCGTAGTGGAGTTGTTGTTGTAATCCGACGTTTCGGTTGCCTCGGGCGACCTTTCTCAAGGATTTCTACAATCAAACATCACCTTTCAGTACAAGAATATGCGGGTCTGTGGTATCTCATCGCTATAAATACTCGGATCTGTCACGAGAAGGTGCTAGAGACCTTCATTGTCACTAGGTGATTTCGGACGAATACAGTAACAGAAGCATGATTCACTTACTATCAGCAATTCGTTCCGGAGTCCATTGCAGAGAAGTGCCACTAGTCGTGGACATTGTGAGGAACATTTTATGGCTGTCTTTGAAATACGCTACTAGTTCGTCCACGTAGTAGCCCCCCCAATCCAAAGTTTTTCGTATACCTTACCACTGCGCACGATCACTCTGAACATTTGAAGTAAGACCGAAAGATTGTACACATTTAGGGATACTCTCGGGCTTCATTCATTTTCAGCTGCTTATTGCATTATCTCTGTTTCTGTGACGGAAGTTGAAAATTTACTGTTGATTTATCACAGTTCATAAGCCGATTATTTCATGACCGTGCCACGTATCCTCACAATTTCAATTCCATCATACGGAGCTTAGTTTGCCTATTTGAATGATGTGCGTCATTTGCTGTCCAAGCGCATGTTCGTCGTGGGACCAAATTTTTCTTATGGACTCAGTGTCAGTGTGACATTACGAACCGCAACCGGCCCCTTTTAAGCTGAGCACTTCGCAATCCACATGCCACTCTGGTGGAGTTTTTTGTGCTTCTTTCTGGTTGTGTAAGGTAGCCCCCCACCCAAAAAAAAACATTTCGGACAGACGGTGCTTTCACTTCATAGGAGGACTGCCTAGCTGATTTATATCCTTAGTTCGTGCCTCCGTGTTCTGCCGAAAGATAACTGTCCAATAAGCGTAAGTAATTGGATTGCCCTAGGGCTGCTTTGTAAGTTATTCTAGCATATTTGTGTGGCAGCCATACACAACTACCGTCATCCTTGGTGATGTAATTTCACTTTCACATCATATCTCTCCAGTCGAGCGAAGACGGCGGGATCGCATCAATACATGGATCAGTGAACTGTATAAATTGCTTCCACCAGATGAGCAAGCCAAGTCACAGTATCAAAGTAAGGGTATCGTGCTGAAGCGCGTCTGTGAATACTTCCAGAATGTTGACAGCATGCTCAAAGCGGCCAACGCAGCTGTTGAACAGGTCAGTGGGTTAGTGTGTTTATATATGTGGCAGTGTACTTACTCATTGGATCAGATGGATGGGTAATGTTCACGTTGTTTTTTATTGCTGTTTGTTTATATTCCATTTTTTGAGCTGATCCCATTCGATTTTTCACTTGCTGTCAAATTTAGCTGAGTACAAGCGATGCTGTAATCTAAATTACTCATTGGTTGATAGCGAAAACCCACATTATCTCGCACATCTAATGTAGAAATCACTTCGAAAATAGCCTACTGTAGCATCTGTATTCCTGATAAACATAAATGGTTTCAAGGTCACACTTTCAACACCATGCTCCGCAACATGAGCTTTGCTGACCGCTCCAAGTACAATATCCGTCTCTGACACTAGTCATACAGTGGCAAAGTAAGGGCACATCGAGACCCTCGTGGACTTGAGAGGCATCCACTGACTTATGTACTACCTCTATCAGCGTCCGAAAGTAACTGGCGGGTGGACCCACCAAGGTAAGTAACTGCCACATGATGCCAGAAATGTATTGGGATAGAGAAATTCCTTTGAAAAGTTGAAAATTAATCGGGTAGGAAAACTACCGTTCTAGGTTTTACTTTGAGACATTGTCCAGAGAGGGTAACCAGGTTCAACGAATTTCAAGCATTAGATTATTCACAGTTGCTGTATGAGCTATTGAACACATAGTTTTCTCTCGTAGTCAGCTTTGTGGCCTTTTTGAGAGGTGAATTCTCTCGAAGAGTGAAATCGTTCCTTCAGATATAGGAACTTCTATTGGAATTTGGCAAGGAATGCTCACTATAGGCTTTTCTGGGGATACGCAACTGCTATATCGTAGATGCTCCGACCGGAAATTATTCATTTTATTAGTAATACTGCGTACCAGGTATTAAGACCTGACCTCACGGATCTGAGCCTCACTTCATGTATTTGATGATCAGGACACCGGACCGACAAACACTGCGATTATAAGACGGGATTTCGGTCACGCGGTAGATAGTTAAAGATTGGCTCGTGTCCAACAAGCTAGTTTGTTCCAGCTGCTCATTTCTGGTGGCCCTTTTATTCAAAAGTTGTTTTTCGGACCCAGCTACTAACGATGAGCCCTATTGATGCTTCAGGATGGGACCTCCGCGCTCTCCGTTGAGCTTACGTAAAAATATTGCGAGGAATAATTACCTACTGCTGAACATCATTTCTCTATTGTCTATCTTATTTTGCTTCTCTGACCAGTTGTTTAGCCACTTTGTTCCTTTTCTCTGTGATGAATTCTTATCGCTTTTTCGGGACTGTAACACGGTTATTCAGGAGTGTTGCTGTCCATGATACCGACGATGTTATTATCGCGTAAGCATTGAGCAATTTTCTTAAGCACTTTCACTGTTGTAGTAGTTTATCTCTCAACAGGGAGCGAGTTTGGCCTTATTGATAACGATTTATTTAACAGCATAAGTTGCAGAAGGAAATTTCGTAGACAATTTTACTAAATTAGTGGACGCGTAAAAGAAGCGATGACTGGCTGGTAATGTTAGTTCGGGTCGGCTAGTGGTCACACCAACCCGCCTGTGTAAACGACATACACCCCACGCATTTCCCTCGTGTTACTGATTAGTATTAGTAGTGAATAAAACACGGATCCCCATAGCCTTCTTTTATTCGTTACCGACATGTGCATGGGGGCGAAATGGCTCAGTGGTCAGAGCGCGAATTTACTGACCGGAAGGTCCGTGGTTCGAACCCAACCTCTGCCTCTCGACTTGCTCTGTCTAGGCTTGGGCAACCTGGCAGCATCCCAGCTCTCGTGCTTTTTTCAGGTAGCATGGCCGCTAGGCACCGAAAGGGTATTACAGCTGAACAATTATTATCTTTATGTGCATAATCGCAGTTGTGCTTGAGTATAACAGACAAACGAGAATCAGTTTGCCGGTGTTCGGATTAATCCGCCATATTGGCCCCTGTCTACCCGTGCGGCCGTTCGGTCCTCGCACAAAAACTTTGTGATAGTCACTGCGGGACTTCAGAACAAATGTACATTTTAGGTTTCGTGCTCATTGGAGCCAACCACGAGCAAACTTTCAAATGGCGTCTCATCTTCGCTCCCAATTATCCAGGGGACATTCAGCTAGTCACGTTTTGGTAGTCACACCAGTGATTAACTTTTCAATCCTACCCATGCAATGACGTTTTATGCTCAGCTGTCGCTGATGCTGTACGCCACTCTTCGCACGTACTATCCTAACCTTTGCCCTCTCAGGATGGAGCCTCTCTAAATATTTAGTCTAGTGGAACGCACATCTGGTTGTGTACCTCAGACCAGTTGATTGGGTGACTGTTCATGCCTGTTTGAAAACGGTACTTTGGTTAACGCATGTTTATATGTGAAGTTGGTTTGGTTAAAAGCCGTTATGGTACTTGGTAACGATTACCTATCCTTATTGAATGGTGACAACTAATCTATCACGCGTTTATGTGCATCCACACGATTCATAAATCAGTACACATCCCTATGTTTTAACACGTCAGTTGACTTACTCTGTTGTATTCATTGTGGCCTGAACAGATTTGTGTAGACTGTCATTCATTCAGTGAGATAGGCAGGCGGAAAAAACATTTGTCGGTTGGTTTTTGATTATTTGAACTACGAATGACTACAATGATCTTCCAAGGCGGAGGGATGGTCAAGGACGATTTGCTGCCGTTATTGTACGTACAGTTAGTAGAGTGGCCCCTCTTGAGAAAGATCGTTGTATCCGATTGCCGGTCAGAACAGCCGCGACACGCGCGGGGTTTCGTAGCTGTGGGTGTCGCACCTCGACTCCTCTGGATTTCCTACCCGCTGTCCATAGTTCGGTTAATAGGTCTTTGTGAAGTCGATTCATTTGACGTGTCGTCGATGCATCTATCGCGTGTAAAAAAATCGTTCCGCTGTAGCACCTTTTCGGTGCCTAACTGCCATGCCACCCGAAGGTTGAACGAGGGCTGGGATACTGCCAGGTTGCCCAAGCCTAGACAGGGGAAGTCGAGAGGCAGAGGTCGGGTTCGAAACACGGACCTTCCGGCCAGTAAATTCGCGCTCTAACCACTTGGGCCAGTATGCTTGACTCGGTGTCTTAAACGGATCTACATTTGTAGTAATAGCACAATTAATTGCATTGCAACTTACTAACCAGAATATCCGCCATAGGCTCCCTAACTGTCTAGAACTTGGGTGTACTTACAGTTCCGACTGTCTAAATACAGTGATTCTGGAACAAAAATAACTTTTGTATGTTGTTAAAAACAGTCCAGGTCTGTCTCCATTGACATTGTGGGGCCAGAAGGTGAACGTGACCGCTGGTCGGAATTGAACTCGTGAACAAAAGCTGATCGACACTGTAGATGTCCATTACACTTCGTATTCAATCGAAAGTGCCCAACATTGACTCATCGGTACAGTGTAAGGTTGCAGTAACCGGATTATTTAATTTCGTTCGACAAATTGCGAACATAATCACGACAAACTTCATCCGCTTATAATTCTTCAGACAGCAAGTATTACGAATACATCTGTTGTATAGCTTTCCTCCCTTCTTACTAATGTCAGCTCATTCCGGTTTTCCGGGCGTCAGCTACGTACTAAAATAGATTGGTTGCAGACGTTACGGTCTTGTAACATGAAGTTAGAGCGAATGTTGTGGCCACAACACACCTGTAATCTACCTTGAACACTCTATCGCCCATCTGAGCATATCCAAAGGAACAGCAGCTTGTGGCAACCACCATGGGATCAGCAGGTCAGGAAATTCCCCAAAGTGCATGACTGACCGTCTGTTATTCTGGCCGATCAACCTATATCCGATCCGCAGCCGACTCGCTACACAGTGATCCAACCCAATTGCTCCGGGTTCACTGCTGAAAAGGGGATAAAGAGTGAATAGCCATACATTGGAGACAATGACCTCAGTGTTTCACCGACATTTACTCGTCCTGTTTGATACTGGGGTGAAAATTGTTCATCCCCGGATTTCCGGGACCCACTCAACACGAGTTCGCCCTCATTGGTGCAGGCCATTAACTCTAAAATAGAGAGCTCTTTCCCGGAGTAAAACAGCCAATCTTACGCTACAGTCGTCCCTTTTTAAATGGATCGACCACAAATGGTCTATCCTTATGGGGAACCCGTGAATGTGAGCGTATGAGAAAAACTTGGCGAAATACGCTCATTTGAGTTTGCTGTGGACCTGCGTAGTTCAGCCTCGAAATTTACAGGTTTAAAGTTCTTCCTAAACCATACGGCAAGGAAGCATCGATGTTGCACATGTTAGTGTTCTAGTTGTGACGTAATTAATTATCAGGAAGTAACCAGCAGTAACAAATGTCTGTCTTACTAGAATGTGATGAATACAATAGCTAGGTACACTTGATAAAAATAGATACAGTTCGAAAAGTGGAATAAGCTAAAAAGTCACTTATAGTTTGAGGACAGTTGTTGATAATTGCACGAACATGAATACAACTTGACCCGATGTGTTGAATGAAGTCCATAAGCCGGCGCGTGACGCAAGTGGTAGCCGCGTAAACAAAAATGGATGAGAAGTTTCACTGTACATGTTGTCCGCTAAGGTTGCAAGTGGGACGGGAATTGTCGCGTGGTTTGAGTGTTTGTGACGCGTGATCTAGTGAGTGACCTCTACACACACTGATGTGTTGTCGATAATGATGACGACCCCTAAATGTAAACGATCATAGCCTTACTATCCAATAGGCGGAAACCAGTGGGTCTAGGTCTAAGGCATGAATAAGAGTAGTAGTGGCTGTGATACTGGAATCCGTGCGCCGCAGAAATAGACAAATTAAATGATGCTTTTGTTTCTATTCGCTGACCTGAACTGACCCAGATAGAACGTCCACCCCAGTGCTTTAGCGGTAAACCATGTTCTAGCTGCATATGATCTTTAAACACTAAGGGATGAGACGTCAGGTTTTTTCGGAGGATCCTTCCTGAGCTATGGTTGACTTCGCGGCGCGTGTTTGTCTGGCCCGAGGGCTCAGAAATCAGAGTTTCTGTAGGAATGCACGTAGTATATGCAGTTGGAGCTGTGTCAGGTTCTCTTAGGATCTAAGGGACGTTATGGGATATGTCGACGTGGGTTACTATTTGCTTGTAAAGCATCCAGGTTCCAGCTGGAAGGTAATGAACTTGTAAGCATTACGTGGTTTGATAGGAAGAACTCTGTTAATGCTGTATGGGCTACCGTTTTGCACGAACTGCCCCATTGTTGTAAGGTATGGTCCAGCAACGGCGACACATTTTGTATCTGCTCTTCGATCTTCCATCTCAAAAACTTGCAAGAGTTTGTTTTCCGCAGGAGCCCCTTAAATTTCTAGTTTAGCCTTTAGCATGTATAAAGCCCTGTCTTCAGCATGCTACCTTGTTCCATTCAGGTTGTTTGATTCCGCTGACACCACGTGGTGATTTCATTAATGGTGCATATCACGTGGTGGCGTTTATTCAGTTGTGTTGCAGCATTTCGTCGGCAATAAACAACGAGCATCTTAGCTGACACATATCCACAAGCATTGCAATGTAGTTCGCTTGTCTCCATAAGCGAAGTAATTAGAGCAGATGTGACCTACCAGATATGTAGTCATTGTTATGACACACTGAAGTGTAGCAAGTAATTCATAGTTCGTCGACAGTACCGCGTGTGCATGCGGTACTTTCTGTGAACTTGATGATCCGCTAACCTTTTATGCAACTTTTCAGCCGATGTGATCTTTTTTTACTGATGACTTGGAGACGATGAACGTTAGTGGCTAACCGATGTCCGCTATTGCTGTTAGTTTCTATCCACACTGCCTGATAGAGTGTTGGTATGGGCACCTTGGATGTTTGTTGTAGGCTAGCTCTAGGTCTCTCTCCTTCTCCCATTTCTTCCCTCCATTGACATAGTTGTACGGCAGTGTGGTACCAATGTTTTGGTTGTCTTCAGCAATGATAGGGATAACAGCTGCCCTGGAACACCAAAAATTTATAGAAAAGTTCTTAAGGTGTCGAAAAAAGGACCTCAGTGTTTTTTTGGAGCGGCGTGGTACACCATACCTGTCACATCAGAATTGGAAAAAGCTGTGTAAAACCAAGACTCTGAAAGGGAAAGTTAAGAAGGCCAGAGAGGAGAAACCTGAGGTTAAGCAATTTTTTCGGATGACTAATGCAGTCAGCATGCACCACCGTTGAATATCCGGAATATTCTGTCCTTTGTGAAATCGCTACTCCCCTCTTCTAACCTTGGGCGGGTGATGTTTTTTTCGGAATTGCCAACCAGTAGGTTGCTATATTGCACTGCCAATTATCCCGGGCGTTCTTGGAGGTATTAAGTCGATTTTTTTCACTTGTGTGAAACCATTTATTCGAAAATCAGTTTTTGGGAGCACACCACCCATCGCTGATTATTTGCTCCATTCGTTAGGGTTTCTTGTTTCGTAACTTGCGGACCGCGTTACGCCACAAGAAAGAAGTCACGATTCGTTAGCTTTTTGTACTCACATGATATGCCTATTTTTATAATCAACGTGAAACTAAGTGCTGATTTCACCGAACCATCGTAAGGACTATCCTCATTTTTCGTTTATCCTTTAGACGCGAGTGGAGAACGGGTTACTCAGGCAGCGAAACAGAGAATTGCAACAAGAGAACCAACTGTTATCAGCATCGTTACATTTGGGTGCAGCAGCAGCTGCCGCTCACTTGAAAAATCGGCAACCACGTGCTCCGTTGCATCCAAACCCCGAGGACTCTAACGGTGCTGGACCTGGTGATAATAGCAGCGGTACACAGTTAAAGGAACCCAACGAAACTGCTGACTATCCTGCGACGGTCACTGTCTTTGCCGTCAATCCGAATACCGACTATGGTCATGGCTCTAACTTTAGTCAAGCCAGTTCCACGGGCCTGCTGCCCAACCAGTCTGTCCCTTCAGCCAGTTTTGCCACAGTAGCCACTCTTAATAATGGTAATTCTGGCGTGTTTACCTTGCACACGGGCAACACATCGGTGGGGTCTTCAAACACAAGTATGGTGAATAATACACTGGTCCGCCCGTTGACTTTACCGAGCTTAGATCTCGTGGCTAATCACAGTGACAGTCGACCCGAGTGAGGTTCCTCAGCTCCACCCACAATGGTGTTCCATCCACACAGTTTATCAAATCAAATTAGTTTTCTTTTTTCATGATTTTCTTTATGGCCTAGTTTGAACATTATCGCGTCCTAACTATCACGAACACTTGTCTATGCATCCACACACAGCTGGTTACATATGCCTCCACACTCTACGATTGTCGCGAATGTGATCTCTTCTGAAGGGAAAGAAGATACTGTTTATGATTGTCCCTATCCATCAAACGGCATCACCATGTATAGGTTATCGTGGAGGCTACGATCGTCTTTCCGTTTCTACCCACACACAGAGTTGTCTGTTTTGCCTCTTCCCCTCCAGGACGTCCCATTTCTTGTGAAAGATAGGTAACAGCGCTATATCTATATTAGCAATCCCCTTAGTTCACTGAAACTTCTGCAAACTGGTGGCCTCATGCTCCTATCAACTCTCCACCTTGAACTGTGAAGGTCATCTGTCATGCCTTCTCTATTTTTCCTGGTGATTTCTAACACGTCCTATCATCACTGCTACTTTCACATTGTCCACTACAACAGACTCACCACCTTGCCGCACCCTCATTGTGCACATTCCTGTGATAGTAATGCTCTTTCTTCCTTATTTTCAAACGCTACCGTTTCTCGGATTGTCATCACTCTAACTGATTGGTCGTTCTCATACGCAACCATACTTGCGTAACCGGTACGTTTGTGTGCTAGTGACCATTGTTGCTCTTGTCTGTAGCCCTGTCTCTCTCTCTACTCCATTCTCACTCCCGTCCACAGCCTTTGCCTCACGCTAAAATAACCTAGCCCTCTGATTTTGCTTGTACGTTGCGCCCATAATTTATTTCTTGATTGGCTCCTTGTGTGGCTCTTTACCACCACAACTGCTACCACTACGTCCCATTTTTCCGTATTCTGTCTTTCATATGCTCCAAAAAACAGAAGGCGAGAAAAGCGTAGGAACCTGCATCGAACAACACCAGCTTTGGTCTGATCCATGTTCGAACGATAATACCGGGCTCGCCTCATCTGTGCCGGCGCTATTTTGTGGGAACTTATATGGATATCCACTGCGGCACCCATTCATTTCCCCGTCCTTTCTACACTTCTTGTGGTACTTTGTGTTTCATATTTTCACCAGTTTATGTTTACTATGTTTTTGCTTGGGATGGATATCTTCATTGTTGTTGTTCAAATGCCTGACAGACTCGTTGGTTTCCAGACGGCTCCTTCCCATCCCCTTCCCAAGGTTGACCGTTTACCTGTTGGGTTGCTGGCGCATCGTGTTTGAACTTGTTCAATGACATTTTGTTGCAGTGTTGCCTTTGTTTTGTTTCACTCTTCATCCACCCATACATATTGCCATCGGGCACATCGCTCCGTATGTTGGACGATGGCTCTGTGTTCTTGTTTACCGTTCCGATTTGTGACTCTTCCGGTTGAGGTTTGTGCTATGTTTCTTCTGTGTATGTGTGTGTGTGTGTGTGCAACGATCCACGTGGTCATGTTGTCTTTTTGCGTATGTGCATTCGATTCATGACTACGTTTTTCTGCACACACGGGAAAGCTTGTAACAACTCAGTCTGGTCATTTAAATATTTATTCTTTTCAGTGCGGCTCGTTCCTCCCAACCACCCACTCCTAATTCAATATAGCTCACCGATTGGAGGTGGTATCCTTGAAGCCACCATACTGTGCTCGTTGCACAGTCCGACGGAGTTCCCAGTTTAGGTAACTAAAGCTTGCTGGATTTGTCTGTTCACTTGTTGAATGATGGGGACAGTTTCGGTCACTGTCCTTCTATCTATCCCATCTCTCTCTCTATGGCTGCATTTTGCTAAACGTTTTTCCACAACCCGTTAGGCCTGTTCTTTCATCAACACAACTTCTTAGTATGCCTGTTTATTGCTTGTTACATAGATAACAGACCGCGATCTGGATAAAACGTTCTCTAATTGATTTGACTTTTGTATTTGCGCCAATGGTATATGCTCTCCTGTGCTAGGGCGTTGACAACCAGATGGAGGAAACTGACGTTCATCTGCCCCGAGATGACTCAGTGGTTAGAGCGCGAATTTGCTGACCGGAAGATGTTGGTTCTAACCCGACCTTTGCCTCTCGACGTCCTCTGCCTAAGCTTGAGCAGTATCCCAGACCTCGTGCTTCTCCCGGGTGAAATGGCAGCTAGGCATTGAAAGGGTGTTACATCTGAACGATTTTTTCATCCGTCCCCTTTAGCTTGGGTAATTCTTCTTCTGGATTCATTTCAATCGCTTTGCTGTTCTAACTTACCGCCTGCCCACTTTGTGTTTCTCGCAGCATCTTCGTAGCCTTTAGCCAACTATCACCCTCATACCGAGTTCCCTCATCTCCAAGATCACCAGAGTGGAAGGGTAGTTTGTTTCCCAGGTGGAGCAACGTATGGTAAGCTCCCAAAACCGCTCTCCTGAAACCAGCTTAGACAATCAATGTTAAAACTGATTGCATAATACCAGTGACATGGGTGAACACTTCTGCCTTGTGGTTCGAAGCAAAACAGCGGTGAGAATGTCTCTAATCTCACCAGTGATTACCGAGCGGGCTGGATGTAGGCTTCATGAGATGGTGGTATGGACTCTCAGAAGAGTCCGTGGTTTGAATCCATTCACTGTCAAGTCAACCGTTCACGGCCACGCATCACAAAATCTGGTCTAGGTCTATTCACCAATACACAGCACCAACCACCTATGTGCATCAAATGAATGGGCTGGTCTAGGTCTATTCACCAATACACAGCGCCTATGTGCATCAAATGAATGGAACAGTAAAGGTTGACGGATTTATCTGCACGCTCACCTGTGAGCACGTTCGCGCACCCCGTTGTGCGATTATGATCACTGTCCTCCGTCGTTTGTGGGATTAAAAACCCATGTGTCCCAATTTTCCTGCCAAATGGACAAGAAAACGCTCAGAAAGCAGGCACACGAATTTAGTGTGGCGTTAGTCGGTAACAAACACAACACAAAGGAAGTTGGCGATTTCACTAAGGTCACTGCCGTGCCAATCACTGGGTACGTAGTACAAAAACCAAGATAGTTCAAGATAGTCCGGCGGTTAAAGCACGAAGGTTCATGGTTTGAATCCAACTTCGACATGGCAACTGCTCCCGTCTAGGCTCGGGAAACCAGGCAGTGTCTTGGTCCTTGTGCTTCCTCCGGGTGACATGGCAACTGAGCGCTGAAAGGGTGCCACAGCTGAAACGACTATTTTATTAGTATATGCATCAGAAGACAGTTTGTCTGAGCTACTGGGTAGGTGGACCGTCGGAGGCAGTGTAGATTGGGTTGAAAACCGTTCAGTCACCATCATGAATGATGGTGATTGAGTGCACCCACTAACTAGGTTTTCCTTGGTCAGGTAGACGATCTGTATGATCCCTTTCTTTAGCTAGATAGATCCTATATGCTGTGNCCACTAACTAGGTTTTCCTTGGTCAGGTAGACGATCTGTATGATCCCTTTCTTTACCTAGATAGATCCTGATATGCTGTGCATCTTTATTGCGATTGTCAGATTGGCCTTATCTAAGTTAATTTGCAGTAATATAGCTTCACCAACTAGCTTGTTTTCAGTGCTTCTTATGGGGATACTAGGCGAATTTTCCAATATGGCTACCCAACACCTTGCTTTTACATGGTTTAATGAGACCAGGCGTGCTCCTCTTCCGCGTATGGAATTTCGGTATAGGCGTGTAGCTTGGCCTAGCTGAATATTTCTAGTCATCTTGAAAGTTGTGGAAAGTCGTCTGGATAGTTCTATAACCTGCATTCCACATTGCATTCTCCCCATGGATCACAATAGTGGTGGTCACGTGGTCATGTGCGCTACGGTTGCTATGACCTGTCTCCTAACAGACGCACTGGTGTGATCGGCGTGTGTGCGGGCTTCGCAACTGACGGCACGGGAGCACGTTTGTCTGCAACCATCTATCCCAACACAGTGTTGTTTGACCTAGTTTACTGAAGCTACGCATCGATCCAAAGCACGGTCAGATTGATATGTACATATCCGTTTAATCGACTAGTTTTACTGCACTCAGCTTAAGCCTTGTCTGTGCACCCAGGAAAATCGGTCACGCGCCTGCATTGTACTTGCACAATTTTTATGTTTACGCTTATTCTAGAGCGGTTGGTCAAAATGCGCGGATAAGACCAATCAATCTCCATGACTAAAGCGATTGTGTTACCTCATTCCCTAACTATAGCATGCTGCTCATGAATGTGACTTATCCCTGATGTAGATCATCTTGCTATTAACCACCACCGTGATTCAGCAGAATGCGCGAGAAGATGCAAGGCTGGCCCGCGAAGTTTACGGAAATGTGTCGTGCTGGTGGTCACAGGTGACCTGTGGTGTCCATTATATCCTACACTAGTTATCTCAAGGCTAACCTGCGTTAGTCACGCTACCTTTTTATGTCCCTGAAAGGGACTATTTCCATTCTCCCTTGGACCACCCCTTCATTCTGCTCTTTTGTGGTCACACCGCGCTAGAATCTTCGTCGTGGAATTATGCCACCAACTGCAAAGACCTGATATCGGGGCCATCGGTAATTCAAACTAGCCTGTTTCGAGGATTAATTGGGTGACTAGTGCCCTCACTTCATTGCGCTGACCTGGCAGGTAACTGCCAGGAGGTAAGTACTCGTTAGTGCATTTCGTGAGGACGACAGTACGTTGCTAAAAGTGAACCAGATTATATTCTGGCCACTCAAATACAGTTGTGAACACGCCGCCTCCATACTACATTCACCGGGTTCATACAAGTTTCTTGTGTAATTTCAGTGGCAATCTGAACTAAATGGTCCGGCGAACATTTGACAGTTACCTATCACAGACTTTTATTAAGTGAATTCGAAGGGAATTAGAGGGGTGAATTGCTATCCTGCCATTCATATCGTAATGCTAGAATTCAATTTGAAGCACCCATCCTCAGAATAATCGACCAACGACATGGTAGCAAGTCACCAAGCCCTTGTCCGCTGGACACCCTCAGCCACTCTGACCACCGGTGGATGCACAGTCACGGTAGTCACGTTATAAAGTTCCACTGTTGGTGTTTGGTTCATACACTGAGCTGAGAAATCGTAGCACACGTTTCGTCAGTTTTCAGTTGAGATTTTGTCCTGTTAGGGAAGCCAAGCTACGCTTAAGAGCTGTTTCATTCTCGTTGGGAATCATGAACAGTGCGCATCTCACGAAACTCCAGAGTCCTGGACTCGCAGCCTTCACGAGCGGCTGATCAGTAGCGTAATAAGCTCATAATTAGGATATGGCAACACTTGTTCTTCAGTCATTGAAATCACGGATTGGTTCCCTCAGGTGCCATGGCAACCAGGCACCGAACTAACTAGAGTCGGACGTCCCATCCATCAGGAAGATGCTTCTACGAGTGTCAGAACGCCCTCTGGTTGAATAAGAGCTCAGCACTAACACCGTTCAGAAAAACTCACGAAAAAGAACGCAGAACTTCCAGTTGTGATTCACAGTGTCAGCTTTGTGTGAATGCCGGACACTAACAGAATGCAAACAAACGTGGGTTTTGTACACAGTGTAGATGTTTGAGAATCTGATCGCGAACCTATTGGGTTTATGAAAGCAATGCAGTCATTCTTAAGGTCCTGTCTCGGTCGGATAGACCGTCTGCTCATCAGTGTCTGTTAGAACATGGTTGGACCAGACAGATGTGGCACAATACTCCTTCGTGTGGGATAACCCTCACCCAGGAGATAACTGATAATTGTGGCCTCCCTTGTGGACAGTTCAAGTTATGACATGTGTACGAATGCAGAGACTATACGTAAGTCGGTAAAATGGCTGAATACTACTTTATAGGATTAAGGCGAATTTGACAGATGCAAATGAAGGCTGCAACTGCCATTGTTTTTTGCCATGTTAAAATACGTGACCATGACATTGTCTCCCTTTTCGGTTTCGCGTGGATTAAGTTGCGATACAAGAACCCCGCCCTCGTTCTCTATTTTCTAAGTTATGGGAGCTGACAGTCGTTAATGTGTTATGTGCTTTAGTCAAAGATGTGCAAAACATCAAATATCTGGTACCTGAACCCTCAACAAAGCATACTGAACATTCACAGAGGCTATACAAATTTTAACAGCCCACACACATGAGGAGACATCTCCATCGATGAGACAGTTTGGTGTTATCCTAAACCATCGAGCTCAAGATGGCTCAGTGGTTAACGCGTGAATCTACTTAGTGGAAGGTTTGTAGTCCGAGCCCAACCTCTCCATCTGGATTTCAGTCTAGGGTAACGTCCGAGCCCAACCTCTCCATCTGGATTTCTCGGCTAGGGTAACCTGGCAGTATTTCAGCCCTCATGCTTCCTTCGGGTAGCGTGGCAACTTGGGACCAGAGGATGTTACAACTGAATGATTTTTTCGCTATACCATCTCTTCAATGTGCGAATGCTATACTTGAAGTCGCGACCAGTTTGCTTTCGAACCGTAACCCACTCAAGACTAGCTTTTTAGTTTAATTCACCTATTCAAATAAAGCGTTCCCAAAAAACAATGCCTATTGGAGAAATCCATGCAACAACAATCCGGTTGTCCTACCAAGATGTTTTACTTGTTAGACAAATGAAATCTACGATGGCTAACGAGGATTGGGGTCTGTACATCTCTCAGTGCTAGCTGGCGCTAATAAATTAAGCGGTGCTATAGCTGAAAGATCGGGTGTCATTGCAGCCCAGTGAAGCGGTGCTTACCACTAACACCGGCGCAGAAGATGAAGAACAGTGGAATGTCAAGCCACTCACAAACTACTGACAACAACATACGGAAACTCCTCAAATTTTCTCCATAGTTCACTGCTTATTTATTATACAGTGTCAAATTATGGTCACACTCTTTGAGTGAAGAGAACATAAGAACACCTGTTACGTCT